TTCTTTTTTTTTTTTTGGGGGGGGGGGTTATTGACGTATAGTTGATTTACAATGTTGTGTTAGTTTCTGGTGTACAGCAAAGTGAGTCAGTTATATATACATATTCTTTTTCATTATAGATTATTAACAGGATACTGAATATAGTTCCCTGTGCTATTCCATTCTTTTCATTTGTTTTTTGATAAAAGAAAGGGGTTGACCAAGGTCAGCAGCGGTAAACATGGGAATGTGTGCCATCCCCCCGCCCTGTCTTCTGTGCCAGTGACAAATCTTCACAGCTCCCTTTTCTGTGTACCTCAAAACCTACACACCTCTTTGCCTCATTCTCCCCAAACAACACTTTTTCCTGCCAAGACAAGATGAGGCCTCAGCACCCTTCTCAACATTATCCTGCAGCTGTGGAAATGGTTCTGAGGCTTGAGTCCTCTGATCCAACAATTGTCCAGCTCCAACAAGTCTGTGAAGCTGAAGCAGGTGTTGGACTGCCTGCTCGCCAGTGTTTGCTCCAGGGAGCAACGATGTGACTTGAAATAAGGGGTCCTGGGCACAAGATTTCACCAAGGGCCCCCTTTGCCATTGGTTAGTTACACAATCAGAGGCCCACCAGGCAGGGGCTGCATGGTCATCGTCCTACCCATCAAAGAGAAAAGCAGCTGCAGGCAGGGCCTCTGCCCCCTGCTGTGGCCCAGTCTTGCTCTCTGAGGCGGCAAGGAGTTAGGCCTCAGCAGACTAAGCAACAGACTCTCTGCAGCTCCCTTCATGCAAGTTTCCTGATGTTAGCAGATGTAGAATATTATGGGGCTTGCAACCTTTCTGGTAATCTTAGTTGAGGGAAGTAGGAGATTGAGAGGGTAGGGAGAGGGTTTCTTTGCCAGCACTGGGTAGAAACTTCCAGAAGTTGCCGTCTGTCTCTGATTCCCTTGCATTCAAAGCGATTGTGCTACAGAACAAAAAGTCCTGAATGGTGGGAAAGCAAGATGACTTGGAGGCAGAGAACCCGGAAGAGGCGCAGGGAGGAAAGCGGGAGTGTCCGCACACCACGAAGAAACACAGAACCCGTGAGCTTTGCCCGGGAAAGGCAAAGACTCCATGAGAACCCCCCCAGCTGTGGCCACCAGCATCCCCTGCTGGGGGGCGAGCTGGAGAACTTCATTCCACCACAGTTGCCCAGCTGTGCCCTGCTTATTGATGATTAATCAAATGCCAGAACAGTGTTCAAATGCCCAGCACTTCACTAAATCACAGAAGGCGGCTTGTTTGTGACCACGGGGACTGCAGACAGACCCAGGAGAGCCACGTAAGACATCAGTTACCTTCCCCCAGTGCTCTGTGATGGAACGCACATTCTTGGCTCTCTGTAATGAGCAGAGGAGAAAGTCTCTGTGGCCCGCGACAACTCTTCCTGCGCAAAATGATGAGTGACCACTTTGAGGTGATTGAGTGGAAGATGCAAGATAAGTACAAATGGTTGCTAATTAAATGCGGAAGGCAGGAAAGATATCTTAGCAGAGCTGGCTGGTGCCCGCCTTACACAGCCAGTATAACTGAGCCAGGCCCCAGAGTACTGGCCTCTTTTTCCCCCCTCTCAAAAGGCTCTTTCTTCTGCCTGCTTTTGTCTCCCTTGTAGTTCATATGGCATCACAGGTGTACAGCCTTTGCCTCAAAGGAGCCATTGTGACCTTATCCAGTGTGGGATCTGTCGAATGAAGGCAGAGGCATCCCTCCGAGTCGCGTGGCGCCACTACTTACAGGGGAAGGGACTGAACAGTCTTGGGAAAGTGTCTTGAGATCCAGCCAGGCTGTGTTTGGGTGCCTCCTTTGCACTCCATAACACAGCCACCAGTTCCTTTGGTGAGTTTAAAGCAAAAAAGAACAAGGAAGAAATTGCTATCATTACACCCGAGGTCCAACTCCTGGAATTCAGACTCGGCCCGGTTTTCCTTCCTGTCTCGGCAGAATGGTATCCTTGACGACGCTGTTAGAACTGTCTGCAGGAACAGCAGCATCTGGTATTGATGGCATTCCTTGGGGCAGGCTGGGGCTGGTCTCCCTGGTGAGACGCAGCTGGACCAACACACCTCCCCCTGCGCAAGCAGCCTGTGTCAGGCCTGTCCCCGCCCTCACCCACCTCAGTCTGCAGCTTCAACTTTCCGTCTCCTGCCCCACTCCCCTTCCCTCCCACTTCTGTGAATTTCAACTGGTGCAGAGAAGCTAGGCTCCCAGAAGACAAAGAAGAGAACTGGGAGCAGGCTGCAGCCCAGTGCAGCACTTTTCAAACTGCTGTCTGGGGTACTCAGTGTGCTGTGAGGGTAGTGTTCTCAGCTGAGTTAACTCTGGAAACTCTGGGTTACACAAAGCCACGTGGGTTTCTTTACTGGAGGACTTCTCAGAGCCTTTATGACTCTAATGTGCAGTTTGAATCTTATAAAGGGAGTTTAGCATTAGATAAAAAGCCAAGTAAAGAAGTGAGCTCGGAATCCGAGTATGACTCTGATGATGATCGAACTAAAGAAGAACGGGCTTACGACAAAGCAAAACGGAGGATCGAGAAACGGAGACTTGAACATAGTAAAAACGTAAATACAGAGAAGCTAAGAGCTCCTGTTATTTGTGTACTTGGACATGTGGACACAGGGAAGACAAAAATTCTAGATAAACTCCGTCACACGCATGTACAAGATGGTGAGGCAGGTGGTATTACACAGCAAATTGGTGCCACCAATGTTCCTCTTGAAGCTATTAATGAACAAACGAAGATGATTAAAAATTTTGATAGAGAGAATGTACGGATTCCAGGAATGCTGATTATTGACACTCCAGGGCATGAGTCTTTCAGTAATCTGAGAAACAGAGGAAGTTCTCTTTGTGATATTGCCATTTTAGTTGTTGATATTATGCACGGTTTGGAGCCCCAGACAATTGAATCTATCAACCTTTTGAAAGCTAAAAAATGTCCCTTCATTGTTGCACTCAATAAGATTGATAGGTTGTATGATTGGAAAAAGAGCCCCGACTCTGATGTTGCTGCTACTTTAAAGAAGCAGAAAAAGAATACAAAAGATGAATTTGAGGAGCGAGCAAAGGCTATTATTGTGGAATTTGCACAGCAGGGGTTGAACGCAGCTTTGTTTTATGAGAATAAAGATCCCCGCACTTTTGTGTCCTTGGTACCTACCTCTGCACATACTGGTGATGGCATGGGAAGTCTGATCTACCTTCTTGTCGAGTTAACTCAGACCATGTTGAATAAGAGGCTTGCACACTGTGAAGAGCTGAGAGCACAGGTGATGGAGGTTAAGGCTCTCCCAGGAATGGGCACCACTATAGATGTAATATTGATCAACGGGCGTTTGAAGGAAGGAGATACAATTATTGTTCCCGGAGTAGAAGGGCCCATTGTCACTCAGATTCGAGGCCTCCTATTACCTCCTCCTATGAAGGAGTTAAGAGTAAAGAAGCAATATGAAAAGCATAAAGAAGTAGAAGCCGCTCAGGGGGTAAAGATTCTTGGGAAAGACCTGGAAAAAACATTGGCTGGTTTACCCCTCCTCGTGGCTTATAAAGAAGATGAAATCCCAGTTCTTAAAGATGAACTGATCCATGAGTTAAAGCAGACACTAAATGCTATCAAATTAGAAGAGAAAGGAGTCTATGTCCAGGCATCTACACTGGGATCTTTGGAAGCTCTACTTGAATTTCTGAAAACATCAGAAGTGCCCTATGCAGGAATTAACATTGGTCCAGTCCATAAAAAAGATGTCATGAAGGCTTCGGTGATGTTGGAACATGATCCTCAGTATGCAGTAATTTTGGCCTTTGATGTGAGAATTGAACGGGATGCGCAAGAAATGGCTGACAGTTTAGGAGTTAGAATTTTTAGTGCAGAAATTATTTATCATTTATTTGATGCCTTTACGAAATATAGACAAGACTACAAGAAACAGAAACAAGAAGAATTTAAACACATAGCAGTATTTCCCTGCAAGATAAAAATTCTGCCTCAGTTTATTTTCAATTCTCGAGATCCGATAGTGATGGGCGTGACTGTGGAAGCAGGCCAGGTGAAGCAGGGGACACCCATGTGCGTGCCTAGCAAAAATTTTGTTGACATTGGAATAGTAACAAGTATTGAAGTAAACCATAAACAAGTGGATGTTGCAAAAAAAGGACAGGAAATCTGTGTCAAAATAGAACCCATCCCCGGTGAATCTCCCAAAATGTACGGAAGACATTTTGAAGCTACAGATATTATCGTCAGTAAGGTAAGTATCTCACTCAGCAAAAGTGGCCCCTTTTAAGAAAGGGGGCCGTCGGCTCTTCTGATGGCCTTTACTCAGGAGCTGAGGGCTTACATTGAGAATCTGATGGGACTGGATTCTTCGTTAGGGCTTGGGCCTGTAGCCTGGCCTCCTGACAGAGTGCCCGCTAGGACTTCTAGGTCAGAGCCCCAGCAAACAGATGTGGTGCTGGCATTCTGCTCCCAGAAAATGCAGGCAGGCAGGCTCTGCTTTGGCAGTTTCTGCCTGAGCTTTCAATCTGTGATGAGCAGGATCTGGTAACAAACTCTGGGGCCACATGCTCTTCTTTGGCACTTGTTAACATTGTTTTGTTCACTCTGTGCCTTGGGCCTTACAGATCAGCAGGCAGTCCATTGATGCCCTCAAAGACTGGTTCAGAGACGAAATGCAGAAGAGTGACTGGCAGCTTATTGTGGAGCTGAAGAAAGTATTTGAAATCATCTAATTTTTCCACACGGGTCAGGAATTGGAGTAAATGCAAAATGATGTTGTAATACTACCAAGAAAAACAAGGCAAAAAATGGAATGGACCTATCTGAAAACTGATGAACTAATTAAGCATAGAAGGAAAAAAATAGGCGTATAAGATGTTTTCCATGAGAAACCAAGAAACTTACACTGGTTTGACAGTGGTCGATTACACGTCCCCACAGCTCCGGCGTGCCTGCTCACTCGTCCACGCCTTTCCCAGTCCTCCTCTACTGGCTGCTGTGTTTTAAAGGTTGCCCTTCCCCAAGTTTGGATTTTTATTACAGATCTAAAGCTCTTTCAATTTTATACTGATTAAATCAGTACTGCAGTATTTGATTAACCAAGCTTCTGCAGATTTTCTGATACTTGGGACTTTTTTGAGGTAAGAAATACTTATTTATGCATATCCTTCCCACAGTGGTGGTTTTTTTCTCTTTCCCCCATGCGTCCTTCTGCCATATGCCCTTAGGAATTTTTTAAAATAGAAAATTAGGCATTCTGATATTTATCTGCTTTGTGTGAAACCATGGTGTAAAGCAAAACTGGCTGCTATTTACTGCTTGTGTGGTCAAGAGAGTCCACTGTAATCAGCACAGTTCTGAACTCCAATAAAGAACCCAGACGTTGAAAAATAAAAAAATAAAAAAAAAAATAAAGGGAGTTTAGTAGGCAATGTTTCCCAAAAGTATTGGACCCCAGGGAATACCTATTAATATCTCCCAGGACAGAGATTCCACACACACAGTGTAGGGGATGCCGGCTTAGTGTTCGACAGTCTGAGCTTTGGAGTCAAGCTTAAGATCAAGTCTTGCCACTTACTAACAGTTTAACCTTGGGCAAGTTACTTAACTTCTCTGAGCTTCAGTTCCCATCTGAAAATTGGGGTGATAACACCCTCCAGACATTTTGAAGACTCAACAGCGTCTTGTATACGAACGCTAAGCACAGTGTCTGGAGCTTGGTAAGCTGTTAACAGTAGTTATCATTTAATTGTCCAGCCAGATCACCCAGAATAAGTTTATCTACTATCCTAGACTCCACCTACATGCAGCTGACTCACCTCTGTGTGTCCAGTGCAGAGCACCCTCTGCTCCATTCCGTACTGCAGGCCACCTGCTTCAGGCTTCAGATGTAACACCTTCCTCCCCGCTCCAAGCCACTCTTCTTTCCTCTTATCTCAACAACCAGTTGCCCAAGCCTGGGAGCCATCAAAAGACTCCCCAGCCACCCCCATGTAGTCAGTCACCAAGTGATATCAGTGCTACTTTTTATTTAAGAGATTCCAGGTTATCAGATCCTTCTCTCCATTCCCACAACTCCAATCTAGACTGCACCTGTGCCTGGCCTACCATCAGGTCAGATTCTTTACCATTCCCTCTGGCAGGAAATCCTTCCTTTCTCTCAGTCCACCCCATAAACTCCTGTTTATCCTTCAAGCTTCAGCTAAGATATCACGCCTTCCGAAGTCCCTTTGGTAACCCTTTGCTCTCCCTCTGGCTGGTCACACACTCAGTTGGCTTTAGCACTACAAGCGCCCTCCCAGTGTTTCCACATGTGAGTCCCCACGCCATCAATCTCCTGGGCAGGAGATACTATTTTTTTCATCTTTAAAGCCCTTGGCACAGTCCCTGGCACTTAGTAAGATTGTTGATAAATATTTGTTTAATTAAATTTACTTGAATTTTCCAAAAAGTTGCCATCTTCCTTTGAGTGATTCATTGATTTTTTTCAGAGGTATAGCCAGCTGTTTCAAAGGTTTCCTTGGATATTCCCACCTCTGACAACAGCTAACATTTCTTCAGCATCTACTGTGTATCAGGTACTCTAGCAAGTGCTTTATGTCCTTTAACTCACCTAATCCATGAGCTGACTTGTAGTGTTCTCCCATTCCACAGATGAGTACTGTGAGGTTCAGCTAGCTGGTCAATGACCGAGGTAGGATTCACACCCAGGACTGCCTGTTTCATTCCAAATCCATGTTCTACCCTTCATCTATGAACTGAGAGCTACCTGTATTCTTATCCTGACCACGGTCATCTAGATTTTTAAGAATTACAAACGTACTGCAGATTTGATCTGCACTCTCCTGTAAGGAAAAGAGGCATGGGTTTTTGCTTAGATTGAACTCCCTTAAGGATAATCTCCATTTTTATTTGCACCCATCGTTCAGCAGTATTTTCCTAAACAGCCCAGGACCAGAGAGAGCAAGTACCAGCCTCAGTAGCTAAGTCCTTGGGGTGTGAGCCCCTCCCCTGACTCCCTGACTGTCACTTTTGTACCACATTTTCTCACTACAGAGGAAAATGGGATAATTTCTTTAAGAAGCATTCTCCAGCACTGTTGTGGCCCCAGATGCTGTGCTGAACACTGAGTTAAGACTAAAAGTTCTCTGCCCTCCGTGAGCTTACAGCCTAGTAGGGAGACAGCACACATTCTGACTTTAAAACTCAGTGATAAGTAAAAAGTACCCTGAACTGAGTCTGAAAGACCTGGATTCAAATCCGAAGTCATATCTGTACTCCAAAATCCAGAAAGCTCTGAAAACTAGCAGTTTTGTTTTTTCATAACTCATTTGGAGGCAAAACCTAATCTGGAGTGAAGTTTTTGTATGGTCACTGTTCAACCCACTTAGTGTGACTATTCCTACTTTTTGCTTCAGGAACAATGTGTCTGATGGGAGTGCTGCCCATCCCCCATGGAGAGGTGCAGATAACACACGGGCCTGAACTCTGGAGGACATCCGGCCCCAGGAGTTGGAAAAGGAATGTGCATTTATGCTTTGTGATCAGTTGAAGAAAATGTATGAAAAGACTTCATAAACTAGATGGTCTTAAATGGCATAGTCACCCCATCTGTGTAATGGGAGCACTGAGGGTGGAGCAAGTGATTTTTTTTCAGGGCCAAGAAGAGGGTCAAAAGATGCTTTAGGGGAAGTAAAATTTCAGCCAGGTCCTAAAGGGTGAGTTCTTTCTCACTTTTAGTAGAGAAGCTGTGGAAAAGGAATTCTGGTGAAGAGCGTGTAGAAAATGTGCAGGAAAAGATGTCTTTAAGGAGCTTGAGCACATGGACTCTGTCAGCTTACAGAAAAACTCTGATTATCTGTAAAACTGCAAGAGAGAAGCGGTACAGATAATATAAAGGGGCAGCTAGTCCACAATCCATTTGCTCTGGGCAGGATTTTTCTCTGGAGGGCAGACTTACATATGTGTCACAGAGAAACAGTGCCGTCTGGGCTGACGCCTCCCTCCTTATCCTGGTGGAGAGGCTGTGGAGCCCTCCCCCTGGCCCCCAGCTCCCCAAGCAGGCCCAGCAAATGGTCAAGGCTGCCCACTACTCCAGGCTTCTCTTGCAGCCCTCTGCGTGGTGTGGGGTCAGCCCTTCACCAGCTGGTTTCTCTAGCGTCAGGCTACCAGGTTCAAACCATATCAGCCACTTAACAACTTTTGGTGGCCTGAAACAAGTTATTTATTGCGCCTTTGTTCCTCCGCTGTAAAATCAGAATAGTAATGTAAGCTCACACGGAAAGCACTCAGCTGCGTGCCTGACTGGTACATACTCAAACAGTAGTTATTATTATTACAAGGACTCTCCCTCCTCCAGCTATGTATAAATACATACATTCCAGGCTTCCCTGGTGGCGCAGTGGTTGAGAGTCCACCTGCCGGTGCAGGGGACACGGGTGCGTGCCCCCGTCTGGGATGATCCCACAGGCCGCGGAGCAGCTGGGCCCGTGAGCCACGGCCGCTGAGCCTGCGCGTCCAGAGCCTGTGCTCCACAACGGAAGAGGCCACAACAGTGAGAGGCCCGCGTACCGCAAAAACAAAACAAAACAAAACCAAAAAAACCATACATTCCTTAATACTTAACCTAAAAGGGAAAAAAAAGCCCTTTCTGCCGCTGCGCTGAGCCTGCGCGTCCAGAGCCTGTGCTCCACAACGGAAGAGGCCACAACAGTGAGAGGCCCGCGTACCGCAAAAACAAAACAAAACAAAACCAAAAAAACCATACATTCCTTAATACTTAACCTAAAAGGGAAAAAAAAGCCCTTTCTGTATTCTCTCTGCCCTGGTCATCAACTCCTTCCTAGTTGACCATTTTCTGTAGAGTGTTTTTATTTTGATTTTTTGCAGCTGTTTCTCAATCATGGTAAAGCATGGCCTCCCTTACTTTGGTCATAATACAGTACAGGGATTCCCAGGTTGGTCCCCAGCGGTCCTCGTAGGCAGTCAGAGGGATTCCCATGCTCATTTCGGGTACTGGTTTAGAGCAAGGTAAGTAAGAGAGCCAACTCTTAAAGTGGATAAGCCCCACCCTGACCAATTCTCTTACACTGCGTAAGTTTCATCATCTCCAGGAGCCTTCATTTCCTGCTTGATAGAATGGAAATAGTCATACTTTCATCACAGGGGTGTTACATCTTAGATTATGTGTTTAAAGCCCTTAGCACAGGACCTGGTGTATAATAAACACCTCACAAATGCCTGCCACAATTATTACTACTAGTACAAGCCATTTCTTAGAAATCACACTTTTACCCCAAGTGGAGCCTCAGGTATAATTA